GGTGGTTTTTACGGCGGTGGCTCCGGTGGGGACCAGGCATACCGCTTTCCCCTGGGCATCAGCGTGAGTCCCTATGGCCAGCCAGGACCACGTCAGGATGGGTACGATGCATCAGCCGCCTCCTGCAAGTTGTACGCTGCCCCACAGGACCATATGACACCAAACCCCTTCAAGGTAGACTGTGCCAAGGACCAGAACGGTTATGGCATCAGCAAAGACATGACGGGAGGCTGGGGTCCTGCGGTGAGGCCAGCATGCACGCCGGACCCCGTGGTGGCCCGCGGCTACCCGCCGGACCCCAGCACATCCCCACGGGACCGAACTTCACACGTAGGAGCCTGGAACACGTGCGGCATGACGCCCGTGTCCCAGCCTCACCAGCAGCCTCAGCAGCAGGCGCAGCAGCAGACAAACAACCAGATGAACCAGCCACCTTCCAACACAACCTTCTACCCCTGGATGGCCATAGCAGGTACGTGCAAGATGCCCACATCGACGGGGTGTGGGCGGCGAGGGTGTGATGCAGCTATTGGTGGCATTGGCACCTATAGGTGCCAAGTGATGCTTATCCTTGCTGCTGCCCATACGGTGCCAGGCACATCCGTTAAGCTAGCATCGCTCACCCGCCTTACACCCCTTAAGTTTTTTCCCTAATTTTCTCTTCATTTTCCAAATTTCTACACACCAAAAAAAAAATCACTTTCTTCCGTCAGTGTGTAATATCATTTCATCAGAAAGCCTCGGGATCCAAGCATCTCCCAACACCCCCCTCGTTGCTCTCATTTGCATAATTACCTAACGTGTCTATCTTCAGTAATACAATGAGATAATCATGGTGAGGTTCCCGCAGGAAAAAAGTTAGTTCAACCTTCATTTAGCCGCGGGAGGTCGCGCCATCCCCTACTGCGTCCAATCTTCCGCAAAGGAGCAACACCAAATTAGGTTTTGGAAAAGAGGAAAGCCAGCGGTAATTTAGTATCCTATTTTCAAAGGGGGGAAGGGGAATTAAAGAAAACAATTAGCATAGTAAAATGCAAAAATAAGTCTCGCGGTCTTCGTCATCAAAGAAATAAAAGACACAAACTTGAAAAGACCCGAGAAGAATGACCATTAATATCACCCACCAAGCATTTTTTTAATATCCTTTAATGATCTCCAGTGATGAGAAAATGTGAACCACGAGAAAATGAGGTGAAGTGAAATGAAACTTTTCAGAATGTCTAGACGAATGAGACAAAGTTTTCCGAAGATGTTTGTGAGTGGAGTGCAAATTGTGTTGACACATCCGACATGTTACGGTGTAAAGTTGTGCGTTACAATGAGTGATTAACCAAAAAAAATAAACACGGTTTAACAAGTGTATTTAAATGCAGAATTGGATGAGAAACACAGTGCCGAATATAATGAAGTGTAACAAATAAGTATAAAGTGAATAATAATAATAATTCCCAGTGCAACTACCAATGTACACGATGAATAGTGAATAGATATACCCAATAAATGAAATGTACGGAAGTGTGTTCGTGAAAAAAAAAACGAGGGTATATTCGCTAATAAAAATGAAATCGGGTGTTTAAAGAAAATAAAAGTGAATTTAAAACTAATAAACACGTAGATATTTGAAAAAAAAAAATTGTGACTTAAGGTAAATATCGTCAGTGTGAAAAAAAAAATAAGGTCGCACCCTCAGACCTGCGGAATATTAGAAGAGGAAAAACAGAGTGATGAAACTTGTGGTCAGTGAGGACAAGCATGCTAAGTCTACGGCAGAAGAGGAAACAGTGTTACTAGTGGTGATGTATCCTAGCGAGACGCAGTGAGAGGCGTAGGCATAAAATATGACGTTCAGAGTCGGTAGTCATAAATCAGAAGGGGAGAACATGAGGGGAGGGGATAGGGGGAGGGGGAGGAAGAAGAGAGAGAGAGAGAGAGAGAGGGGAAGAGAGTTTGAGGAGGTCGGGGTGTGGAGGAAAAGCACATGAGGAGATAAAAATGGGAAGAAGAGATAGTAAACACGGGAGATATAGTCATGTCACTACGATAAGAGAGAGAGATCTTGTGTCTGGGTAAGGTGGTGGTGAGCTGGCTCTGAAGGAGCGAGTGAGCGCTCGAATTACAGTGATTAACAATAAGTGAGCGTTCCATTGGCCTTACCGCGTACAATGTCTTTATTATGTACACACACACACACACACACACACACACACACACACACACACACACACACACACACACACACACACACACACACGCACGCACACACACACACACACACACGCACACACACACACATTACTGGGGACGTGAGTGAGGGACAGTAACCTTCAAAATAAACAAGGCAGTGACAAACACTCATTTCTAGTTCCTATATCTGTCGTCACGATAGTAAAGACCTTGTGCGTGTGTGTGTGTGTGTGTTGTGTGTGTGTGTGTGTGTGTGTTTTGTTTAGTACCGAACGGGAAGGCATTCGCGACAGGAACTTAAGGAAAGTGATTAACTAATGATGCTTGGTGTTTACTTAGCGGCTAAGAATATCTTTGGATAATTGTACGTATGTTGGCGAATTTCAAGACAAAAATAGATTATAGATTACTCATCTATCTTACTATCATAAATAAAGCTGAGTTTTTTTTTTTCACTGTCTTTCACACTCGCACAATGAAGCGCTTACACAAACCAAAATGTTACACAAACACACAGTGAAAATTTTGTGCAAACACTTGACGTGGTTAATATAAAAATTCTTTCATTACAATACATTCTTTTCAAATTTTACATTTTTTTTTAGTCATGTTAGTTGAGTCTCATTTCACAAACAAGATACTGATCAAACACTTATTTCGTTTTGTGTATTTTTGTGCGGTGAACAGCGTTAAGTAAAATAAAAAGGAAATAACACTACGCCGAAAATATTGACGTTTCTGCCTGGCTGGTCAGGCCGGCCCCCGAAGACTGTTACAATGTGATTTTCGGTTGAAACATCATTTATCAAAACGTCTGGTTGGAAAACACACATACCACCGCTTTATTAGAAACTGGTGTCGAGTTAAATATATCAGTCGTGCATACAATTTCTAGTAATCTTAGATGTTATATCATCAAGTTTGTAGCTTCAGTGAATGCTGGGAAATTCAAAGCCCAAGACGAATCCACACGGAGCCTCCGAACAGAGCCTACAGCTGGGGGAGTGAAAATATGTTGAAGGAGGAATTTTACCTATCATGCTGGCTTTTTACGGTTCCTCAAACCTCTTTCCACAACACTGGCACTGATTTCATGAATTGAAACACTCGACGAAAGCCTCCCATCAGGTAAAACTTTCCCGCTTAACTGCGAAACTTTTCTTTCCCCTTCTACTGTCTCGCTCTCTTCATTGACCGAAGATAGTAAGAGGTCGGAACCTGAGAATAGAATACACGGTCTGGCAACTATCCCAACAAAAGTTTTGGCCGGCATCCACACAGGGCTGTGATCTTATGTCGTAGCAACACCAAACGACAACTCATGACGAGAAAATATAGCTTTAAAATTGTCGCTTAATTTTCCTTTGGAATGAATCAAGATAAAGAAAAAAAGCTTGGAAATTGACAGACTCCCACCACCTTACATACACACACAAAAGGTGATTCCTGTGAACTTACCACAAACTAACCCACTCTTATGACCATTCCCTTACTGGTGTTTCCTGAGGACAAACGAGCATTCACTTACCCGAACACGGATTCCTTTTATGTATTGAAACCTATCGCCTCATCAGAAGCCTCACAGTTATGTTAGTCCAACCAAAACTTGCCTAGTTAGTCGGACAGACACAAACAGAGAAACACACACACACACACACACACACACACGCATGTACGTTTTTCCTGAATAGTGCAAACCCTATAGAACTATACACTAAACGTACGAGTGTGTGTGTGTGTGTGTGTGTGTGTGTGTGTGTGTGCGTGTGTGTGTGCGTGTGTGTGTGTGTGCGTGTGTGTGTGTGTGCGTGTTTACTCGCACGATTTTTTTTTTACCGGAGTCGAATCTCCGTTCTTGGCTTCGCCTTTTAAACTAAAATAGATGACTTTATTGGTCACTGGTTACGTTAGTCTTATCATACCTATTCTTGAAAATGTAAACTGAGTTTGTCTCTAGCTCTTTCCGTCTTATTAAGTCCGTGTAACTGAAAAAGTATTCCCTAACATCCCTGTGGCTCATGTGTGCTTTTAACTTTTGTCTATCACAAAGTTGGTCCCTATTTGTCAAATTCAGATTATCATGTATGTCGTAATTGTGTCTCCCCCAGTCCTGTCTTCTGTATTTGTCAGATTCCATTCCTTGGTGTTTCCTCAAACCACAATCCCCTCAGAAACTAGTCTTATTGCAAGCCTCTGAATTTTTTGAGTTATATATACCTGACTGTGCTGATGCTGGTCAATGATCGGCCTCACGTGGGTATTGTAACGAGTCCTTAAAGATTACTGACGAATTTTTTCCCCGAAAGCAGTTCTGAGATTTGCTCACATCAAATATATTAGAGATGTTATGCAATTCTGGTGATGTGTTGGTATGATCAATTCATGATCTTTCTCATCGAGTGTTACATAAAGTTTCTCACTTCTTAAACTGTATTCTATCCCTGGTATTCTATTTCCGGTCCTAAATTTCATGACCTTGTGCTTAAAGGGGTTTAACTCCAATAATCATTTATTTCACCCCTCCTTCAGCTTGTTTAAGCCTTTCTGTAGCCTGTCTGTACCTTCTTCTGTTTATATTCTTCTCATTAGGGTTTTCGTCACTGATAATTTATTCACTCCTCTCCGGTGGGTCATTAACATATATTAAGAATAGTAATGGTCTTAGTACTGATACTTGGGGAACCTCACTTATATTCTTTACCATCCTGAAACGTCTGCTTTTACCTCTGTCGTCTGTTCGTTAAGTATTGCTTGATCCGTGAAATCTTCTTCCATCTCATCTATTATGTTTATATTTTATTGTCATTTACTCATTATGTCTTCACTCTAATTCATTCTCTTCCCACGTAATTTTATAGTTTATTTATCTACTACTATCACCATCGCCATTATTAACACCACAAATACTATAATTACCAACATTACTGTCCACTTCCATTACCATAACTATCACCTTCAACACCAGTATAACAGCCAAGAACACAGCCATCACCAATACCACCACTACTACTACCACAACCAACACAAGTACTACCACCACCACCACCACCACTGCCTCAACCACCACCAAAACCACTACTACCACCAACAGTACCTCTACCATCACCTATACTTCTGCCACCAACACCCCTACCACGGCCAATACCACCATCAAAATGAATGTCACCACCATCAATACCAGAATCAATACCATTATAGCCACCAAAGTCACTACCACTACCATTAACAATGCCCCATTAATACCACCACTACCACCTCTACCCCTACCAATACAACTACGACCATTAA